GCTTCTAAATCTTTTTTTTTTTAACCTAGAAACCTTTTATTTAAGGTATGCAAATTTCATGCATTTCATGTATACATTCAGTATACATCCGGGACAGTCACCCCACAGGCCAAGTATGAGCTGAGCTGACAGAGCTGTCGAGAGCTTCCCAGGCACACCCTGGAAGCCCTGTGCCCTGCGTTTGCCACTCACTCCATATATCCACTCCAAAAAAGAAGCCTGTACCTGGCTCCACCCTCCACATTGCCTCTATAAACTGAGGATAAGGTTGGCAACATTTACAAGACCAACCTCACCAGTGCTGGCACAAGCCCTTTGCTTATTCCAGAAAACTTATTTTAAGTTTGTGTTTCCTGTATTCTTCAGATCTCCATAATAAAAGACAGAGACAGAGCTATAGATAGACAACTCCCATCTGCTGGCCCGCTCCCAAGATGCTTGCAGCGGCTCCCGGTTGAAATCAGGAACTCCAAGTTGGGATTGAGGAACTTAATCCAGGTCTCCCACACGGAGGTAGTAGGAACTGACTATTTAAGCTGTCATCGCCGCCTCCTAGGGTCTGCCGCATCAGGAAGCTGGAATCAGAGCCAAGAATGGAAGCCAGGCAGGAAGAGCCGCCCATGGATTCCCTGAAGTTCTCATTCATTTTCAGAAATTTACACCCAGAATTTTGTTCTCCTTGGGAGCCAAGCACCCTCTGAATCCCAGATTTAAAATTCTGTGCTTTGATGGATTCTCTCTTAGTCTTTTATCATCACATCAAGCCCTCCACAAACACAGCGTTGCTTGCCACTTATTTTGGTGTTCTTTAACTTCTCTCATCAATGTCTAATGGTCTTCAGTGTACACAGCGTGTGTATCACCTGTCTCATTTCCCCCTAAGTATTTCATCGTTGTGATGCTATAGTAAATGTTATTTTTAAATTTCAATATCTGGCCGGTGCCACGGCTCACTAGGCTAATCCTCTGCCTGCAGCGCTGGCACTCTAGGTTCTAGTTCCAGTTGGGGGCGCTGGTTCTGTCCTGGTTGCTCCTCTTCCAGTCCAGCTCTCTGCTGTGGCCCGGGAGTGCAGTGGAAGATGGCCCAAGTGCTTGGGCCCTGCACCCACACGGGAGACCAGGAGGAAGCACCTGGCTCCTGGCTTTGGATCGGTGCAGCGCGCCGGCTGTAGTGGCCATTTGCAGGGTGAACCAACGGAAGGAAGACCTTTCTCTCTGTCTCTCTTTATCACTGTCTAACTCTGCCTGTCAAAAAAAAATTTCAATATCTGATTATTTGTTACAAATATGTAGAAATACGATTTATTTTGCTGTATCGATCGCGTGTCATACACCTTTGATAAATGTGCTTATCAGTTCTGTTCACTTTGTAGATTCCATGGAACTATGCTGTCTGTGAACAAATCGACATCAGTTTTACTTCTCCAATACAGATGGCTTTTACTTCATTTTCTTGCCTTTCTGTACTCTCTAGACGAACCTCCAGCATAACGTTAGGTGCCTTGCCTCATTCATTCATGATACTGAAGACAGCATGCAGTACTTTACCATGGAACATGACATGAACTGTAGGTTTCTCATATGTGTCCTTTATCAGGTTAGGGAAGTCTCTCCTATTCCTACTTCGCTGAGCTTTTTTTCCCTCCATAACTTTATTTTTTAAAATGATTTATCTGCATCTATTGTGATGTAATAGAGGCAGGTTTCTTTCTTTCTTTTTCTTTCTTTCTTTCTTTCTTTCTTTCTTTTTTTTTTTTTTTTATAGGCAGAGTGACAGATGGAGAGAGAGAAAGAAACAGAAAGAGAAAGAGAGAGAGATCTTCCATCATTGGTTCACTGAATGGTCACAAGAGCAGGGGCTGGGCTAGGCTGAAGTCTGTCTCCCACCTGGGTGGCAGGGACCCAGGCACTTGGACCATCCTCCACTGCCCTCCCAGGTGCATTAGTGTTAGTAGGGAGCTGTATCAGACACAGGACAACCATGACTCAAACCAGGGCTCTGAATGGGATGCTGGCATCTCAGCTGCTACAATGTCAGCCCCAAGTGGGCTTCTTTTTTTTTTTTTTTTTGTAAGATTTATTTATTTAATTGAAAATCAGAGTTACACAGAGAGAGAAAGAGAGAGGTCTTCCATCTGTTGGCTCATGCCCCCAGATGGCTGCAGTGGCCAGAGCTGCGCTGATCCGAACCCAGGAGCCAGGAGCGAGGAGCCAGGAGCCAGGAGCTTCTTCCAGGTCTCCCATGCAAGTGCAGGGGAACAAGGACTTGGGCCATCTTCTACTGCTTTCCCAGGCAGAGAGCTGGATCAGAAGTGGAGCAGCCGAGACTCGAACCGGTGCCCATATGGGATGTCGGCACTGTGGGCGGCAGCTTTACCTGCTATACCACAACGCCGGCCCCTCCAATTGGGCTTCTTATAACAGGGCAAATTCAAGCTCTCTCTCCTCCCCTCTCCATCCCTGCAAGAAGATCCTCACCAGATGGTGGCCTCCTGATCATGCACTTCCTGGCCTCCAGAACTCTGAGAACAGAAACTTCTGTTCATGACAAATTACTCACTCTGGCGTGTTTTGTTACAGCACACAAATCAAAGCATTCAGTGAAATACTAATCAGCACATGTGTGTGTGAGCCAAAACTCGCCAAGGTTATTTTTTTGGCCATGAATAGTATTTGGGCGGCGTTGGCACCTGGCTCACTTGTGTGAACACCTTCAGTTATGAAACCCACCTCAAATCTGTGTTCCTTATTTGTTCCTGAGTCCTCCTCACTCAAATTCCATTTGTCTGAGTCACTCAAAGATGCACTTGTTATTGAAAAGCCATGTGGTTGAGTAGGTTCGCCACTTTCTTTTCATCTTCTTGAATGCCGAAAATAAGCCTTGTGGATTCTAGATCAGGCGGAGTCTGGGTGGACATGAGAGAACGCTGAGCGGCTGGCGGTGCGTGTATTGCTGTGCCATTGTTATGGCAACCAGCATGCTCACTGATTCAACTCTGTGCCCAATAATACGAGATGGGATTAAATACGGACATGGCAGAACACACGTAATGCACTGGTGTGTCAACCAGAATAGTTACATCCAGCATAAACGTAAACCTAACGGTCAGGGCAATTGGTGGGATTTACCCACAATTAATTAAGAACACTTTCCAGTGGGAACTGGGAGTCAGGAGCCTGGAGGGCTGACTGGTGGCCACAACCTCAAGCCACATAGACTTGGATGAATTTAGTCATTGGTGTGGGAGACAGGGCTGGGGTTCCAAGCTATACCAATAGTTGGCCTTTTGGGCAGGCGTTTGGCAAAGCCGGAGACCTTCATTCCACACCACAGTGCCTGCTTTGAGTCCTGGCTCCACGCCTTCTGATCCGGCTTCCTGCTAAGGCTCACCGTGGGAGGCAGCAGGTAAGGATTCCAGGACCTGAATCCCTGCCACCCAGATGGGGAACCTGGATTGAGTTCCAGGCTCCTGGCTGCAGCCTGGTCCAGCTGTGGCTGCTGTGGGCATTTGAGGAGTGAACCAGCAGATGGAAGATCTACCTCTGTCTCGCTCCCTCTCTGCATTCCTAATAAAACTGGGGAAAAAAAGGTTGAAGAGTTGCCTTGTATTTATATGCATGCAGTAACCCATTTAATCCATCAACCCACATTTGCTGAGCACCCATTCTGTGAGGAAAAGGGGTATGAAAGCTGACGTGGGAGGGGGCATCTCGCCTACGGCTTGGGACTCTCACATGAGACTCTCACTGAGAGTACCTCGGTTTGGTGCCAGGCTCCAGACTCCAGCTTCCTGCCAAGGCAGACCCTGGGAGGCAGGGGTGATGGGTCAAGGAACCGGGTTCCTGCCATCCACATGGGAAAACTGGATTGAGTTTCCAGCTCTGTATTTTGCTGGTCCTGCAGACATTTGGGGGAGTGCACTAGAGGAAAGGAGCTGTCTCAAATAAAATTAAAACAACAACACTGGGGCCGGCGCTGTGGTGCAGCATGTTAAAGCCCATGCCTGCAATGCTGGCATCTCATATAGGCGCCAGTTTGAGTCCCAGCTGCTCCACTTCCGATCCAGCCCTCTGCTATGGCCTGGGATAGCAGTAGAAGATGGCCCAACTCCTTCGGCCCCTGCACCCCACGTGGGAGACCCAGAAGAAGCTCCTGGCTCCTGGCTTCGGATCAGCTCAGCTCTGGCCATTGGGGTCATTTGGAGAATGAACCAGTGGAATGGAATACAGACTTTCTCTCTCTCTCTCTCTGCCTCTACCTCTCTCTGTAACTCTGACTTTCAAATAAATAAAATAAATCTTAAAAAAAAAAAAAAAAACCCTAATGCATTTCTTTCCTTTTTGGAGCTTGCAGTCTTAACCTCCTGAGCGACTCAAATCCATTTGCAGGTACAGCTGTGATGGGCGTGAAAGAGACGGGTATTTTGTGTTGCAAGAACCAGTGCGGAGGAGATTCGGAGTCAGTGCAGACAGCAGTGGTTGCTCAAGGTGACACCACGACGGGAACTGTTACTGGAAACAACCAGGTGCCACGAAGAAGGTGAGTCTTCGCGGAGGCCGGCCTAGGGGACCAGGAGAAAGCGGTGTTTCCCGGCATCCAACATCAGCCAACAGCGGTGGGGTCGCCTAAGCGCAGGCACAGCTGATGCTGCCCTTTAGGCCATACGGGGCTGGGACCAGACCGCTCGCCATCCTTTCCTCTGGTCGTACACGCCCTTCACCCCTCCTGGGGACAGTTTCCGAAGCTCCAAGGAGCTCCTCGTCCTGGGTAGGGGGTGCCAGACAGAGTAGTCAACCGGGGGGCGCAGCCACCGCTCCGCTCCGGGGCACATCAAGTTCTCGCTTCGGGCTGGGCTCGTGGTCCCGGCTCGCGGCTGGCTGTGATGTAGGCAGTGGGGGACTGGAAGACTCGACCCGCCTCGCCGGAGCCGCAGACCGGACGCAGCAGGAGGGGGCATCACGCTTGAACAGCCAGGACGGGGGAGGACAGCGGGAGGGCGCCGGCGCCACAGAATCCCCGGGCCCTGGCGGGGCAGACCTGCCCGCCGCTGGGTGTGCGCCCTGCGCCCTGCGCCCTGCGCCCTGCAGGGAGCCGGGCCCGCCCCACTGTGCGCGCAGGCGCGCGCCGCGCCCGGCTCGGACCGCAGATCGGCGCTGGGCGGCCGCAGGCTGGCCTTGCAGGTAAGATCCCGCGGGCGCGTGGACTCGGACCCGCGGCCGGGACGCCGCGCCGCCCGCCTGTCTTGCACGGAGAGCGCTGGGGCCCGCAGTCCCGGCGCCTGCAGCTGGGGGCGCGGGCTCCGGAGCAGCCGAGAGGGAGGCGGGCCAGGAGCGGAGCGGAGCTGCCCGGCGGGTGCGGGGCCCGAGGGCCGGCCCAGCCGGCGGCGCTGCTGCGGGCCGCGGTCGCGAGGGGTGGGCGGCGGGAGGCTAGGCTTTTGGAGAAATGCCATCAATTAAGAGTTTTTGATTAATGGAAGAGAGGGTGTAGCGGGTGGGGTTTTGGTTTCCTTAGGAAATGGGTCATTTGGCAAACTTTCTCTTCCTGAGGGTGAATTTTCGATTTTGAGAGTGGAAAACGGGGTTTTGTTTTTGCCATAAGGGGAAAGAATAAAAAGAATTCCGCCATTTTGGCATTTAAAAAGTAACCGCTCTGCAGAGCTGCGGGGTCGGGGGCCGCCGCGCCCGCCGCGGGCCGTGGGAGTCGCAGGCGGCAGTGAGCGGGTCCGGGTCCTGGACCCCACGTCCCCCGCACCTGCGGCGAGGGGCGGGGCCGAGGCCCCAAGTTTGCGGGCTCTGTGGGTTGGGTGCGGGGTACCTGTGTGGGCGCTGTCTCCGCACCTCCGTCATCTGGAGCGGGGGCATTTATTGGGCATCTGTTGTATGCAAGGCCTGGAAGGGCCAGGGGTGGACTCGGTCGCTCAGCGTTTGCACATCTGTGGTGCGCGCCGCCCCAGGCATGCGGTGTCACGATGGCCTTGCTCGGGTTCCCTGGAAGCAGTCTGCGAGGGAGGTCTGAGTCTGCGCTTTGGGAGGGACACCTGTGCGCAAGTGAGGACAGCGGGCTTGGGCAGCCAGGAAGTTAACCCCTGATGTGGCCCCCAGGCCGAGCTCTGGAGCTTGGCACCGAGGGTGGGGGCTTTGAGCCCCGCGTGCACTAGTCATTGGGTGGCGGCTTCCAGAAGTGAGCCCTGGTAGGCGCGAGGGCCGAACCCAGGAGTGACCGCTGAGGGCCGGCAGCCGCTTCTCCCGCCCGCGTTCGCTGCATCCTCTTCCCAGACCGCACCTCCTGGTGCGCACCCGGGCTCCCGCTCTCCTGGTGGATGTCAAGTCTGCGATTCCAGTTGCGACCGTCTCCGTGTTTTCCTTTGCAGTAGAAGCTTCGCGGGGCCTCCCGGGCTTGTTTGCCGCCGTGTCCCCAGAGCCTTGCTGGCCTCCTCCAGGGTCTGCTGATAAAGGGATAGCGAATGTGAATAGAAGGGTGCCCCCTCCTCCGTGGATCCCAAACCGCACAAGGATTGGAATCCGTGTGGAATTCTTTCTTAAGAACGTGTTCGTTCTTAATGATGGCCAAGATTTGGGATAAGATAGTTAATTTTACTGAAGAGAATTTTAAACGGGGGTCAGTTCTGAACTCCTTGGCATTTCTGTGGCATAGCAGGGAAAGCCGCAACCTGCAATGTCGGTATCCCATAAGGGCACTGGCACCAGTTCGAGTCTGGGTGCTCTGTTTCCCATCCAGCTCCCTGCTAATGCCCCCTGGGAAAGCAGTGGAGGATGGCCCAAGTCCTTGGGCACCTGCCAGCCACTTGGGAGACCCAGAAGATGCTCCTGGCTCCTGGCTTCCCACCAGCCCAGCTCCAGCTGTTGGTGCCATTTGGGGAGTTAACCAGCAGATGGAAGATCTCTCTCTCTCTCTCTCCATAATTCTGCCTTTAAAATGAACAAATCTTAGAGAGAGAAAGAGAAAGAATTTTAAGTGGTATAAATACTTCAGTGGTACAAAGCAAAATAATTGAAATTCAGGAAATTCTGTATTTTATAATTGTCTTTATTTTTTTTTATTTATTTATTTATTTATTTATTTTAAAGAGAGAAAAGGAAACAGAGAGAGAGAGAGAGAGGAAGAAAGAGGGAGGGAGGGAGATCTTCCATCTACTTGTTCATTCCTCGAATGGCCACTGCAAGCCGGGGCTGGGTCAGGCTGAAGCCAGAAGCCTGGAATTCTATCAGGATCTTCCACATGAGTGGCAGGGGTCCAAGGACTTGGGCCATCATCTGCTGCTTTCCTGTTAGCAGGGAGCTGGATCTGAAGTAGCACAACTGGGATGCCAGCATTGCCAAGTGGCAGCTTAACCCTCTGGGCCACAACACTGGCCCCTCTATTTGTAGTCTTTGCCTATCTCATAACACCAGCACTATATACCTCTATTATTTTATTCATCTATAATATAGAGGATTCACTCTGTGTTTTAGGGAGGAAAAGCTAGAAAATAAGTATCTACTCAAGAACAGCAAGAAAGAGGGAGGGCAGGAGAGACAGTGCCTGTTCTAGCTGGCTTTGCAAGCAAGCAGCCTGCACATTGGCAATTCTGTAAACAGGGAGTTGGTTGGTATTTGTTGGGAGCCTGTTGGTATCAGACTCCATACATACTCCATACATCTTTTCCATGCCCCGACCTCCCCAAAGACTTTGATACAGAGATCACTTCTACCTGCAGTTTGCATTTGAGGTCACTGCAGCATGGAGAGGGTGAGCTACTTGTTTGGAGTCACGGGTATTAAGATGGGGAGCTGATGCTCAAACTCAGCCCAGCCCGTGTTCTCTTTAAGCATTTGTAGAAGATTGTATTTGAAAAGCGGAGTTACAGAGAGTGAGGGGGAGAGAGTGAGGACGAGAGCGAGAGATCTTCCCTCCTGCATGGGTGCTGGGGCCCCAGGACCCAGGCCATCCTCTGCTGCTTTCCCAGGCATGTTACCTGGGAGCTGGATTGGAGGTGGAGCAGCCAGGACTCAAACTGGCACCCATAAGGGATGCTGGTGCTACAGGCCATGGCTTAAACCCGTTGTACCACAGCGCCAGCCCCATGGGGCTGTATTCTTTACCCTGTGTGCCAGAAGCCATTGTCACGTACTGCCAAAACTTAAAAGCAACCAAATATTGATCACTCTGACAAATTCAAACAACTGACAGCCAGCACAAATATTTAGTGAGCACCTGCTGTGCATGGGTACTATTCTAAGTGCTGGGAGTAGAGCAGTGAGCAAGAGTCATTGCAGTTATGTGGGATGACTAATCAGACACAGAAATGGAGGTTGTTATTGATGATAATGAAGAATGTGAAAGAAATCTATAGTGGTAAGGGGCCGGCGCCATGGCACAGTAGGTTAATCCTCCGCCTGCAGTGCCGGCATCCCTTATGGGCACCGGTTCTAGTCCCAGCTGCTCTTCTTCCCATCCAGCTCTCCGCTATGGCCTGGGATAGCAGTAGTAGATGGCCCAAGTGCTTGGGCCCCTGCACCCATGTGGGAGACCAGGAGGAAGCTCCTTGCTTCAGATTGGCGCAGCTCCGGCCATTGCGGCCATCTGGGGAGTGAACCAGCAGACGGAAGACCTTTCTCTCTGTCTCTTCCTCTCACTGTCTTTAACTCTACCTCTCAAATAAATAAATAAAATCTTAAAACAAAACAAACAAAAAAAAAGAAATCTACAGTGATGAGATAGACAGTGGTGGTGGGGGGGGGTATGCTGCTTGAGATGACGTGGCAAGGAAAGACCTCTTCCCAGGAGGTGACCACGGAGGCGAGGCCTGGAGGATGGGCTGAGCCAGTCAGGTGGAGAGCTTGGGGAAGGGCAAAGGCATAGTCTTGGAGGTGGGAATGCTGGTCAAGCAGTGGAAGGAGATCTTTCTGTTAGGTGCAGAGAACGGGAAAAGAGTGGTGGAGGATGAAGTGAAGGGGATGAGTTGTTCTGTAGGATAAAGCACTTGGATTCTATTCTAAGGACAATAGGCAGCCACTGGAAAATTTTAGATACGGTAGCGATGGGGACTGGTTTACCTTTTTAAAGCAGGGAGATGGGTTAACAAGCAATTCCAGTTAGAATACGTGCAAAGTTGTGCCGTCCAATACATTAGTCACGGCCACTGTTGCAGGTTTAACTAAAGTTAAATACACTCAGCACCTCAATCACGCTAGCTACATTTTGAGTGCTCAAAAGTCACATGTAGCTGGCGGCTACTGTGTTGTACGGTGTGGATGGAGGACATTTCCATCATCACAGACGTCCACCAGGCAGGAAACGAGTAAATGGTGGGTATTAAGTATATGTGTTACGTCCTTGGGGTTTTTCCTCGATATATTGACCTGTGTAATCAACTCTTCATGAAATGCGTCCACTGCCTTTGTTTTATTAAAGCAAAATCACGTCAGACTGGGTTTCATACACTGCCTCTCTGCTCTTCATATGCATGCATTTTTTTTTTCAACAAATGTTTGAGTGCCCACGCCGCACTTGGGGTTGGTGGCAGTGGAAGACGGCGGCACCAAAGATGGCAGTCTGCACAGACCCCGCCTGCCAGGGTCTTTGAAGGAAAATGGGCCCTGCTTGGGCGAAGCAGAGCCTGGTCCTTGAGTGTCCCAATCCCCAGAGGGAGAAAGAGTGGAGGAAAGAAGTGGGCTCGGCCTTGGCCTTGGCCTGGGCTATGTCGTGAGGATACTGGCTTGACAGAACCTGTGCCTGTGTCGCGTTCCTTGGAGTCAGTTCTGCAGGCCACAGTTTATACACCTGCCACCATGCTTGACTGTACAGAGACCAGGGCAGGTGCAGGGTCTGGCTAGAGCCCCCACACTGACCGGGCTGGAGCCAGGAGCCAGACCTAGTGCTGGTCTCCTAAGATGCCCGCCTGCCCTCCACGCTGAGGCCTTTGCAGATTGCTGGCCGGAGGCTGGCCAGCTCCTCTCAAGGAAGCCCCTCCCCTTCCTGGGGATTGCTCGGCTTGTAGGCCTGTGAAGATGGAGGGCTCTGCTGAGATGGAGATGCTGAGGACACTGAAGGGGCCTTCCGCAGGGGAGGTCAGCGTGCATCTGGTGGCCAGAGACAGCCCAGGCTCCGGTCCTCACCTGCCCACAACCGCCTTCATCATTCCAGGTGGGTCAAGCCAGGGGCCTGGGAGGGAGGGGCAACCCCCTACCTGCTAAGCAGGTGAGGATACTGGGAGAGGATGACACACCTTATGTGACCTCAGCCGAAAGGCAGAGAAGTGACGAGGACGACACTCCTTGTCGTTGTCCTATGCTACTTTCCTTAACCTACTTATTCAAACGTGGCTGGACTAGGCAGCCGCCAGACTTACCTGTGATGTGTCTGTGTATCTGTCCTCAGCCAGTTCGGCCACGCTTGGCCTGCCCAGCAGTGCCCTGGATGTGTCCTGCTTTTCCCAGGAGCCAATCCATGTGGGTGCCCCAGAGCGGGTGTCCGGCAGCGAACCTGTCACGGCCACCGTTCTGCCCCAACTAACCGCTGGGCCAGCGGGCAGCTCTAGCGCTACCACAGTGCGGCTCCTGGAGTGGACAGAGGCCGCGGCCCCGCCCCCCGGGAGCAGCTTGCGGGTCAGTGGGGATTGGTCAGGTCACACGACCCGCAGCTATGGGGAAGGGCTCTGGGGGTCAGGGGCGGGACCTGAGGCTGACGAGGGGCGGGGGAGGCTGGCTGAGATGTTGGGCCCCGGGGGTGGGGCTTCTATTGAGGGCTTGGCTTGGGTGGAAACACTTGGAGGCCCTAGTGGTGGGGGCGTGGCTTCCAGTGAGGCGCCCTGGCACCCGCCTTGCAGGGGCTTGGGGCCGTGGCTTTGAGGGAGGGGTTCTGGGGCGTGGCCTGGAGAGGCACCTGAGGCTTGAGGCCCGGCCGGAGTCTGAGCTGGCATGCGGCGGTGAGGGGGCGGCCATGCTGTTCTGAGGAGGGTCGAGGGCTGGTACAGGAGTTGCCATCCTCAGACCCTCCCGCGCTCCAGTTCCGGATAAGCGAGTACGCGCCCCTGAACATGGTGGGAGTGGAGCAGCCACCGAGCCCCGAGCCGCGGCGAGAAGGCGTGGCCGAATACGAAGATGGCGGGCTCCCGGCCGGGGGTGGCGACTCGGGCACCCCACAGCCCGGTAGGAGCCCTGCTCCCTAGGCCCTGCGTTGGGGCGCTGTGTGGGTGGGGCGGGGCCCGAGCTCCCCAGGCACTTCGGCCGGGGGCGTGGCCACAGGTGTCCCCAGGGATTGGTCCAGAGGTGGAGGCCGCTGGGGGAGGCTGTCCAGTGCTGGGGGAAGGGGGAGGGCCAGGCGGAACCTGAGGGGGCCCGAGAAGGGGTGAGGAGGCCTGAGACCCAATTGGCCCCCACAGAGACCCTCCCCCAGGGCCCTCCAGAAGATCCCGCTCAGGACCCTCCCGAGGATGGTAGCGCCTGTCCGTGCCGGGCCTGTGGGCCTCAGCACAGCGCCGGTCCAGATCCTGGTTCCTCCAGCGACGGCTGCCCTCCGCTGTTCCAGGAGCGGTAAGGGGCTGCAGCCATACCTGTTCTGTCTTCGGCGCCCCCAACCCTGTTCCTGTTAGGGGCCTGGGTGGCGCGCGCGGGCGCGCGGTGGGGAGGGTACTTCTGTCTCCCAGACTGCCCTCCCCCTGCCCCATCCACCACCCCAGGTCAGTCATAGTGGAGCACTCTTCAAGCTGCGCCGGGGCCGAGCTCCTCAAACCCGTGAAGAAAAGGAAGCGCAGGGAATACCAGAGCCCGTCCGAGGAGGAGTCAGAACCAGAGGCCGTGGTAGGAGGGGACAGTGGGCAGGGAAGGGGAGATGGGCCTCGGGCCTCAATTCTCACTGCCCCCTCCCTCAAACCGCATCACGGGCCTGGGTCAGAGAAGACACCTGCCGCTGGTATTTTGGGCTCCCACCATGAGTCAGGTCCTGAACTTGGCTGGAGGGAAACCAGTAAATCGCTCCCCTGACTTTCCCACCGCCTGTCGTAGTCAGGTGTCAGGGTTAAGGCGCGTTCAGGTGAATGAGCTCCCAAGGTAGATGTGCAGGCCGGGGCGGGGGAACCCTCCCTAGGCCAGCAGGAGCACAGAGGTCCACTGCAGAGCCTGGGAGGGTGTTAGTGCTAAGCACCTCTCTCCCCAGGGGAGTGTTGTCAGCCTGTGTATCTAGGATGCGTGAGCCCGCGGGTCAAGTGGCAGGGCTTTGTCTGCAGAGCTGTGTCCCCGGGGGCAGGACACTGTGTGGCCGGAGAGCATACAAGTGCCAGGGTCACGGCTGGGCTTCACTCCGACCCACAAGGACAGGAAGCTGGGACCAGACTTTCCTTCCACAGGAGAAGCGAGAAGAAGGGAAGGAGCCAGAGGAACGGCCCGCGGCCAGCACCCCCGAGAGTGAGGAGTGGAGCAGCAGCCAGCCTGCAGCGGCCTGTGCGTGTACAGCTTGGGAGGCTGGGTTGTGTTGCAGGAGCATGGGTTCGTGTGGGTTAAGGAGAGACACTGAGGGACAAGCTCGGAGCAGTCCAAGCTTGTGCGTTGGCATATGTGCATATGTTCTTGAAGGTTACATTATGTATTTGGTATTTTTTTTAAAGATTACTTATTTGAAAGACAGAGTCACAGAGAGAGGGAGAGGCAGAAAGAGAGAGAGAGAGAGAGAGAGAGAGAGAGAGAGAGAGAGAGAGATCTACTGCTTTACTCCCCAAATGGCCTGAGGCTGGGCCAGGTGGAAGTCCGAAGCCAAAGGCTCGCCTCTCTTTGGTTTATGGCCTCTTTAGACCTAAACATGGAGGGTGGGGGGAGCATCTGGCAGTAGTTGAGATGCTGTTTAAGACACCTGCATCTTTTTTTTTTCTTGAAATGCAGAGTTACAGAGAGAAAAGGAGACATGCACACACACATACACAGACAGAGAGAGACATGTTGAGAGAGAGAGACAGAGAGAGATCTTCCATTTGCTGGTTCTCTCCAGATGGCCATAACAGCCTGGGGCTGGGCCAAGCCAAAGTCAGGAGCCCAGAGCTTCTTCCAGGTCTCCCACGTGGGTGTAGAGGCCTAAGCACTTGGGCCATCTTCTGCTGCTTTCGCAGGTGCGTTAGCAGGGAGCTGGATGGGAAGTGGAACAGCTGGGTCTTGAACCAGCATCCTATATGGGTGCTGGTGGCATTGCAGGTGGCAGCTTAGCCTGCATTGCTACAGCGCTGACCCAGAGACACCTGCATCCCAGAGTGGGTGGTTTGAGTCCTGGCTCCTCCACTTCTGATTCATCTTCCTGCTGGGAGATGTAGATGGCCGTACGCATCCATCTACACCACTGGGAGGGAGGCAGTGAGGGGTGGCTCCCAGCAGATGCTGGGAGACCTGTTTTGAGTTCCAAGCTTCTGGTTTTGGCCTGGCCCAGCCCTGGCTGTTGCAGGCATTTGTAGCGTGAACTAGTGGGTGGAAGATCTCTGTCTCTCTTCCTTTCAAATGAAATGAAAATAAAAAAAGTAACAATTCTTTTTAAAAAAAGACATTCATAAGGAAAAGACAGTGTCTGGCTACTGTTGGCTCAACTGTTCAATCTAACTTAGGAAGATAGTTTCATAAATCAAGAGTCTTCTAGCTGGGTCTCGCTGACTAGTAAAAAGTTGTTTCCGATTCATACTAACGCACTAGTGCACTGTGAACATTAATGTGATATTACTTTCTGGACATTCTTGCCCCCAACCCCATGCCTTTCCCCACCTCCCCATGGAAAGAAACTCTTACTAGTAGACAAAAGTTTTCACTTATGACTAAAATATTTTCCACTTATTACCTGGGTCTTCTGATAGAAGATTCTGGGGGTATGGATGAGGATGGGTGGG